TGAGCTCATTCACAATTTTACCTCATAATGTTTATGACATGATTAAGCAAAAGAAAAAAAAAGTTTAGCAGCACCATCCTTACACCATATTATAGACTTTAGAAGCATTGAATATAATCCCTATGAGACTGCGAAGGCCTCTTGCAGCTATTTTACATCTGTCTTAATAGTACTGGGTAAATGTCTATGTCTTGAAAATGTTTTAAATAAATTACATTATAACTCTAAATGACTGCCTTTCACTATCACAGTCTATAAGAATGTGCCTTTCTGAAGACCCCTTCCAGTTAGCTTTCCGAATACTCATACCACCTTCTAACATGGCATTAGTGCTGAAGGAGTCATCACATTATAATATAATGATGTGCCTTTCTCATCAAATTAAACTCCCATGTATCAACATCGCTGAGAGATGAAGAGGGCCTTTTAAAGTCTCTCGCTGTTTGTGACCTTGAAAGAGCTGTCTTGTGCTTCGGCATATCCAAATTTCTGCAGACACTCCAAAACCTTTCAGAGGACAGTTTGAACAACTGCTTACATATACTGTTGCAACAGACTAGGCAGAGCTGTAAAGATGTATTATCATCTCAGGTTCTATCACAGCAGGTGTCACCTGTAGGAAAACTCTTCAGAAATAAAATTGCATAATGAAGGAAAGGGGCGGGAGGGAGGAGAAGGCTTGCATAATTACACCCAGTGAGAACAATCAGCTAATCTTGGTGATAAGTGGAATTTGGATGTAAGCCAAATTGTACACCAGAAAGGGCTTTAGTACACTGTTGGATTATCTCTTTCCTCAGTTGAAAGAAGTGCAACTCTCATTTTTCTGCTCCTTTGCACTACTGAATCCTGCAGTCCTGCCCAAGACTGGAAGCCAGAGGGTACAGAACTGCTCCAGCAACACAGAGATGCAGCCTGAGCATTGTCTGGAAAAACTGCTTTTGATTTCTGAAGCTCCCTTCTGCCTTGCCATTAATGCACAGCTCTTGGATAAATCTGTAAGAGTAACACTGTGGCTGAATTAGAGATATGGAAGTTGAAGGTTCCTTTTAAGAGAGAAAGATGTATTACAAAACTGTAAAATGACTGTAGGATTAGCATTTTCCTTTAACCTTTTCTCTTTCCTCTTCAAAAATTTGAATAGCTGACATTCCTTGCCTATTTTTTTCAGTTCTGAGGTGCCTATTAGGAAATGCAAATCTATTTAAAATATACATATGCCTCTGAATAGACCTTGAGCACAAAGCAGAGTCCTATCCTTTTTACAAGCCTTTTTCTGTATCAAATAATACGCAGCCCCAGGCAGACACTAAAATATGTGTGAGGCATTGGACATGCCATGTCCAATTTGTGTTAAAATTTAGAGACAAAAGCTACCTGGGCAGAGCACCCATTGGGCCAGTTTTTAGATGGGCTTTTTGAAGTTTTGTTGAAAGCAGGTTTTAACAGAGCACAAGATTCAACACGAGGTATTGTTCCCACATCTCTTTAACTTGGAATTTCACTACATATAATCAACTTGAGTCCCATATAACTATTTTTCTTCTTTGACTTGACAGACAGGCTAACATTAAGATGGGAGTGTTACTTATTCTGAGAAGAACTAAATATTACTAGGCATTTGAAAGAAAGGTAGCCCCCTGAAATAAAAAGGTGATATTATGGAAACTGCAAGTACATATATTATGATGGCTGTTCAAAAGAAAATCTAGGGAATGGATGAAATTATTCTTAGTGTACATTATCAAGAAACAAATCTCATGCACTTTGAGTATAGTGTTACCACTTGCGCAAAATAGGTGATAAAATTAAATATGAAGAACCATAGACCCAGTGGCCTCCTGTCTAAAGCATTAAATGTCTTGCTTTCATCAGTGTAAATAGCACTGTGTATTAATGATGTTTAGTCAACCAAAAGAACTGGTGGGCTTTTGGTCAGGTTCTGTAGTCACTTTTATGTGATCAGTAAAATACTGTTTTCAAAAGTTTAAAAGAGACATATCTTGGCAAGATCTAGAAATAGCTTCTCTGTTAAACTATGCTGTGATTTATATAAATTGGTATCTCTTCAGCCTCACTGTGAAGTTAAACTCCACTAGTCCCAAGATACTGGGGTAACTGTTATTCTTAATTTTATTTTGATAGGTGTAGTGAGTGTACTGAGTACATTTAAAAGTGGAACAGTCATTCGAATTTTTCAGAGGAAGTACAGTTATGAATTTTTCTCTCCTTTACTTCCAGATACAGCTTCCCCCAACCCGCCACCCATACCCCCCTTTCTTGTAATAAGTGCTGGTTACTTCTTTTCTCCATCAATCAAGTTGTGTATCTTTCATATGAATTATGCCATGCTTATTTAAGCAAATGAGTAGAAAGTAAGAATCTGCAGTCCTGTTTTTCCACACAAGAGTATTCCAAGAAACTTGTAAAAAGAAAACTTGTAACAGATACACATTTAACAACAACCTAAGATTTATTGTGTCTCAATTGTTGTTTGTTTCTTTTTTTGGTTGGTTGGTTGGTTGGTTTTTGAGGATTCAGTGAAGAAACAACTGACAAACAACACTCCTGAGAACTAAGGAATTCTATGAGAATAAAATGTTGCTTTTTTTTTTTTTTTTTTCTTTAATAGTCTAATCATGTACAAATCCACCACTATATGTTTCTCAGAGCAGTGAAAAATAATTGAAATTGTATCTCTGTACCGTATTGCAGAGACCTAGTGCTGTGTTGCAAGATTTTTTTTTTCAATAGCAGGATTTGAATTAGAAGCTGGATAGGTTTAAAAGTGTGAAAGATGAATTTTTTTTGCTGGTCAGAGATGTATCAGATTTTTTTTTTATCATTAACTGATCTCTGTCTCTCACTCACTGGCATATACATAACTTTTGAGACTATATAGGAAGGACCACAGTAAGAGTGCATATTTGGCACTGACATCTAAAACAAAACAATTGGAAAATAGCATCTTCAAATCTTTCATGGTTCTATTATTTGAATGTCAATATCCAAATTTTACAATGTCATATCAAGCCATGTCTGATATTTTGAAATATCATAATAAAAATTATAATAAAAAAGTGGGCAGAAACACCTACATAAGTCCTTGTAGGAATGCTTCTATTTTCTTGGAAGAACAGCCATCAAGTCAAGGCTAGATCTTTCATTTTTTCTTTAAACAGTGGATGCAGTTTTGGAGCTCAGAGTGTTTTTCTTGCAGGCTTTCATGTACTATTATCAAAGCCAGATATTATTATATAGCTTATATGTATATGTGTGTGTGTGTATATAATTTTATTTTTAATGAACTTTTTGCATAAATCAATAAATCTGGAAAAGAATAACCTTTACCCAAATTTAACCAAAAGTTAGATTTGAATCTCATTACTAATTTTGGTTAGAAAATGTAGGGCTTGGAGAAAGTGCTAGAAGTGAGGTTTGCTCTCTGGGTTCAAGGTAGGATCAGCTTTCCTAACACATTTCTGACAAAATGTTTATCGAATCTCAGTCCCTAAGTACTGCCATTGGGATATCTGCGTGTTACAGAGGAGAGACTGACTCCTCAAGTACCTACCTCACTTATATGCTGTACAGCAAACAGCTGTTATGCTGTTTGCATAAACAGCATAGCAATAACCTCATATCTGCACAAACCTCCTGTTAATTCACAGAGCTGATCTTTTTGAGTTATACAAGATACTCAGAAATGTAGGTTGCATTGCAATATTCCTAAATATAAACTTCAAAATTTATTTTGTGCCAGTCAGCATTATATACTCAAATAAAGAAGGAAACTGATGCTGAATGACTGATTTGACTAGACATTAGTCTGGTAACTTTTGCAACTGAAACTTATTGCACCTTTTTTTTGTGAACTATTCACCAAGGTAAAAACTATCCCAGATAAGATAATTAAATAATTTTGGAATAATAAGGCTTAGAACTATGCAGCTCATTGGAAAGAATTTTGTGAACAGAAAATGGGATCATCTTTATGAAAAAAAAATCACTTCCCTTGCTGTCTCTATTACCTCACACCCAGCCAAACCAACAGGAGAGTGGCATTGATAAAACACTGTGAAACTTAAGTGAAAAACCTACAGATGGATTAAAACTCCTCATAAAGAGTGCTTCATCTTCTGTGCTGTATCTTAAGATGCAGCTGGAAAAGAAATGTTCGTTTTGAAGTCTTCATGAAAATGGCAGGTTTCAAATAATCTGTAATTAGCTGTCATGATCTAGCACATTTTGTTCCACAATTTTCAAAGCAAAGGGCAGACATCTCTACCCAAAATGAATAAACAGGTTTAGTCAAGAAAGCAATGCTATCTGCAAGATACGTTTCAATCACAATATTCTGTTATGAAAAAGTTTGCAAGTTGAAGGAATTTGTTGTTGTTACTTTTAGCAATATCCTCATCGTTGAGGGTACACTTTTTTTTTTTCTTTCTTTTTCTTTTTTCTTTTTTTTCTTTTTTTAAATAGAAGAGTGAGTTTATTAGCTGCAATGTATTAACAAATACAAACACTTCTGCCACAGATATTAATGAATATTTATCTGTTGACACTCATTTGTTCTGTAAACATCACATTGCTTTACAGAATGGTTAGCAAAGTAAAACTTAACGTACTAGAAGAAAGAACAGTTTCAGCAATTTTTTAAATTATTATTTTATTTTTTTAACTCCCTGGATATAAATATTTTTCTGAATCTGATACATTATATGAAAGATCATTGATAGTCTTCACATAGGAACAAACAAAAATAACTGTAAACATCACAACAATTACTTAAATTAGTAAAGCTTTTAACATTACACCTGCTGAAGTGTCCTAGAAGTGACTTGAAGAAACAGGAGGAAAAAAGATTCTCACGTGGTGGTGGGATCCAAGAGCTCCACACACAATTCATTGCTCCTTCTCCAATGAGTAGTTTGGCATTATGGAATTTAGTATTTTGTGCTGGATATTTACCCTTATTTCTCATTTCTTGTTTGCAGTAAAGACAAATAAATGAAAGAAGTTCTTGAGCACTTACTACTGTTCACACTAAAGAAGATCATGCAAATGCCCGAGGTATGGACTATATATATTTTTTTTTTACTCCATGATCAATTTTTGCTGTTTTTAAGTCACATCATCTCCACTAACCATTGTTATGAATAACTTTTTCATTTTCAACTCAGTAATATCTGAGTGCTCTATCATCTTTTATGCATTTATTGTCGCTGTGCATGGTGAAGTAACCTTTTTCATGTACTATCAATGGTACAGTGAAATCTATGGCCCCAAGTTCACAGGTATTTATAATTCTATGAATCTGAGTTCACAGGTATTTAATGCTCTGTTCCCAGTGAAATCCACACTCTTGAAATGATACAAAACCTGCAGAAATCAATAAGTTGAAATGATTTTGAAATCAGGTCTTTATGGCTTCCTTGAATGTATGAGATTCCAAATAAGAATTTGAAATCAGGTTCCTCATTGTGTAGGTTACAAGAAATACAAAGTTATGACCCTGTATCAACAGTTTTCCATGGAAATTCAGTGCTGAAATATCAACTGAGACCTTCATTTGGTAAAAGAATGCTTCTCCCACCGCTACCACTAGGGAGTAACATTCATTATTCTGAACATTTTAAGACAGACTGAAGGATCAAAGCACATTTTTGCACAAGTACCTACTTAAGCTTTATATTCTGTTCATGATTTTCTTATATAAAGTTTTGGCTTGCAAAAACAGCTGTGAAAATTGAAGCCAAGGTGAATTTGTTGTTTGAATTCATATGGAACAGTTTGTTTTATTCACCAAGTGGTCATTAGCACAAGAGTATTTGCAAATTACCAGTGAGAACAGTCTTTTAAGCAGTCCTGCAAGATCTGTATTGTTATATATATTTTTTTTAATGACTAAGAGGTGATATTTTTCATCTATCTGAAACCTGATGGGAACTTCTAGTACTGCAGAAACAGCTAACATCCATCAGGTCCATAGATGCAGTACTAACTTGGAGGTTATGTCACTGTCTAATGAATCATTGCTAACACTTTCTCCAAGGGTTTGGTAGCCTTGGAGGTTTCATTGCAGAATTTTTATTTATTTATTTATTTATTTTTGAGATACAGTGAGATCACAGCACCGGGTGACATAAATAAATAACCGTATGTCAAGTAAGCATCTAGCACTCTCATAACCCATGACTACTTGGACACTAAGGAAGCATACAATTTATAACAATATATCAGCTCTGTTTCTGCAAACAAGTATGCATTAAACTCACATTCTGCATTTGCTCAATTTGCTGGGCTTCAGACTGGTAGAGTAAGGAATCTGTTATAAAACATCTGTAATAGCCATCTGGTAAATAGCATAATTTGTTACATAGCAGATAGAGGGAAAAGGAGGTTTACAGTGGAGAGCTATATCAATAAGTGCCTTGGTTTCAATCACAAGTGCATCACTTTTTTATTTCTTCACATAAGGTGATAATGAAGAATGATGACCTCATGTCTAGACCTAAGCTTTTAACTTTGTTGCAGCTCTGGGGGTTTTAATGTTTTTCAAAAAAAAAAAAAAAAAAGCAATCAATCAAGTGCCAAAAACTGTCTGGCTAATTACCTCTGAGACGTTCTAAAACTCTCTATTCTTTCCTCATAGAAATGCAGTATTTATGAATTGCTTTGTTGAAACACAAGCTAGGTTATGATCGCGGCCAATTCTTTCTTCACTTTTCTTTGCTTCTGCTCTATACTCGTGGAAGTGCTAATATTGTGAATCTCAACACTTTGACAATGTTTCTTTCTAACTGAGATAGACATCAGTATTTCCTCCTGCACATTTCTGGAAAACAACATGTTTTGGCAGTCTCGTGATATAATAGTAACAAGGATATTCAATTTGTAAGTATCTCAGGAAGGGAACCTAAGGAAGCATAAGTAATGAACTCCCAGTCACCCAAAGATCTTATTTCAGCCAGGGTCTTGTGAGATGAATAGCAACAATGATTTGACTAAATTTGAGGTTTCTTTGAATTATTTATTAATCTGGAAGTCAGAGGTATTTCAAACAGAACAACATGCAATCAAATTAGTAATTTTAAAAATAGGCTAAAAAGGACCTCTGAGGGTTTTGGAGTTTAATCTGCTGCTCCACGTCGGTTGAATTTCAGTGCTAGAGGAAGAAATTCAGGGTTTTAATTTTCATTCAGGGTTTCAGTTTAGTTTTGAAAACCTTCAGAGAACAAAATTCTTCCAATTCTTTGGGCAACCTACTCCAATGCTTAATCACTGTCACAGTAAAGAGTTTTTTGCTTATGTCCCTTTCTACCTGCTCGTTACCTGCAGTTGAGGCGGCATTGGACTTTCTGTATAAAGATCTCAGTAAGAGGCTAATACTCAAAGCAGCAGTCTTAAGGTTAAGCTACACAAGATGATTTAATTTTTTTATGTTTTGGTCCAGATGTCCTAATGTATAGGGTTTTGTTTTTGTTTGTTTGTTGGCTTGTTTTTCTACAAGTACATACAAGCACTTCTGTATCTGAGAGTTGGAATAGTTGCAAGTGTATGTCTCAACTGAAATGAAAATATAAAAAAATAAAGATCAGCTCTAAATGCATGAGGTTAAGTTAAATATTTGGTGAGCTAGTAGCTTTATATAAATATTATGTTTAGTGGAACAAATAACTGACAAGCCTAAACTTTCAATCCTGAAGTAGCATTCACACATTCAGAGTCTGGTCAGTAACTCCACTTATGAGCAACTATTTGACTAGGAGGTGATCACAGGCCAAGAAAGCATGCTTTCATTTCATAGACAGAATCTAGCAAGGTGTAAAAATATCTAAGATCAAAGAATACGCAGTAAGACTCTGCAGGAATATCCATCATTTTATCAGGCTAGTAGGACTACAGGCAAGGAGACCCTTGCAAGCAGACATAACTAAGGTAAGCGTGCACGACAGAACCATATATCAAAACAAGTTTGAAGTTTATCATTAATTTGAATACAATAAAATAAACACACAGTATGCAATGAGCTTTTTTTTTTCTTTTTTTTTTTTTTTCCTGAGTAAACTGAAGTACTGAAGTAAAACTCCAATATTCTTAGAACATCAACAAAATCAGGAAATGATTGCAACTGGCATTTATAATAAGCACTAGTTATGGTTGATGTATGAGATAATTATAATGCTTTGCAGGAAAATCTAACAAATCCCAGAACAGTTACTCTGTAAAATCTATTTTTATGGAAATTAGGGTATGAATATTGCATCCATTATAGCAAGAGGGCTATACAGGCAGTTCTGACAGTCCCAATCAAAAGTGGTGTCCACTCCTGAAAGGTAATTATTCCTGAAGTTTTGCACACATAAAATAACAGGTGTTCCATTTTCTAAAATGAATGCTTTAATATTAAAACATGAGAAACTTTATAATCTGCACAGCTTGATGAACTTCAAGAGACAAGCACCTGTTTTGACACAGAGGTTAAAAGACTAAATAAATTGTGGTAGATACAGTTTAATATTTTGGGACTCAATAATGTAACAAGTTTGAGTTAAACTTCTGGCATATGTAGCATCACAAGACTAACCAAAGCTTTGGATATATATGCGTACATTAGATGTCAGTTATAATGAGCAATGCTTTAATTTTAATTATACAGTTAAATTGAAAAATTCCATTATCATTTTTAGAAGAGGTTAGTAAACTGGAGTTACTTTTAATTTACACAGTCCAAGGAAGGAAAGCTGGTTATCAGTCTTCCATTTTCAATTCTTTATCTTTTATGGATTTGAAAAGCAGAAGACAGAATATCCCCTAGAGAGCTGACAGATAATTGTGAGAATAACCTGTCATTCCTAATCTTGGTTTTAAAGTGTTTCTTGAATGCTTCAGGTCCTCTTTTCCTGAGAATGCTTGTCGAGTTTTCATCTCTAAAAGATGATAGAAAGCTATTAATATGACTTTATGCTTGTCTGAGTTCCCCAAGGACAAGCTTTCAGTATTAGATATCTAAAATAGGCATCTATAATCCATTTTGCATCAACTAGAACTGCATTTGGACATTTGCAAGAGATACATCCAGTAGGTAACTTAATGCAGATGCCTAATTTTAAGTACGATAGCAAATGGTTCTGGAAAATATCCCAGTTCTCAATAAGTAATTTGCTTAACCTTGAACATAAAATTCCTCTGAAAGCAGTACAACTAGCAAATTGCTCTCATATTTCCTGGGGTCAGGGTTGATTTAGAAACTTAGAAAGAAGATCATATGGATTAGATAGATCTCAGTCTTGAGAACTGTCATTTTTTTCCACTGGTACTTCAGTTGTAATTTCTATCACCAATATTATTATTATTATTTGTTTTTAATAAAATTAAAATGAACAGAAAATACCCTTCTGGAACAGTAATGGTGAACAGATCAACTTCTTCATGAGATATGCCGCTAGAAACAAGTTTTGCCTACACCTTCAACTAATTTTTGATTGGTCCCAGTTGCAATTTAAGCTCAAATTAGTTGCAATATAAGCTTGAATTGCAACATACTTTCTTCCTTTTAAAAAATATTTCTATTCAGCCATCTCACACTAAGCATATTTTATCCATACAGTTTACTCAAGTGTCCTAGCCTCCCTGACATTATAACATTTTTTGTCATATCAGAATAAGAAGTATAATCATAAAACATAAGGTGGAACTTTAATAAATCTTTGCATAAGATACTCAGTTTTTGATTCAGAGAAGCTGACACACTCTTCACTTGTGTCTTGAAGGTATTAATTCCCCTTGAGTCAATTCTCTAATCCTTTTGTTAGAGTTCTTCTTCTGTACCTGCTTCTTTGAGGAAAGCCATTTCCCTATAGAGTAAGATATTTCCAAAAGAGAAGCGATATGAATCTTTGAGGAGCAGAGTGACTACCACATGATAATGGGATATATTTTATCTGGATTGAGAAGCATCTGCCAAGTACATCTCAGAGGAGCTGTCTGTTAAGAGGAGTTTAGAATAGATTGTTTACTCCATCAAATATCAGCAGAAACTCTACTTTTGCCTTGATTTCCTCCATTTA